TTTCCTCCTTCTTAAGCAATTCCATTCAAGAGAGGGTCCTGGGAGGGGGGATAAAGAGGAGCAGAGAGGTGTGCGGGTGACCCAAATGGGTTTGGGGTCTTTGGGGACCAGAGTCACTCTGCCTCTGCTAAGTGTGTGTTCTGCCCCATCTCAACTCCTTTTTGGAGGAAAACTCTGTCCCTAAGTTTGCCCATCTTGTCCTGAAGCTGGTTCTCTGCACAGCATCGCTCAGCTGAGCACCTGGCAAAACCACCCCGCATTTACTTATTGGACAGATGGCAGAGGACAAAGATCTGGAATGTTGCTTCCTTTTCATTTGGGACATTTTCCTCACGTCTAAGCCCAAGACCATGCTCTCGTATTAGTTACACCTCCCATTCTCTCTGTTTTTCTAATACCTCCTTTTCTCGTTACATTTCTTCCTAAACCTTCCCTCCTCCCCTCTTTTTTCCTGACCAGCAGGAGAGCTCCTCAGGCCTCAAGATAACAGCACCTAAGGTTGTGACTCCAGTGCCAAGTTCAGCAGCTGGTATATTTTCCAGCCTCCCCCCCCCCCCCCCCCAGCCCCCAGTTCTCTCTCATCAATAGAAATACAGCCTCAGGTGAGGATTAAAAGAAAAAGTTCTAGGTCCGCCCTACCTGATTTGGCTTAGTGGATAGAGCATTGGCCTGTGGACAGAAGGGTCCCAGGTTCGATTCTGGTCAAGGGCACATGCCTGGGTTGTGGGCTTGATCCCCAGTAGGGGGCATGCAGGGGGCAGCCGAACAATGATTCTCTCTCATCACTGATGTTTCTCTCTCTCTCCCCCCTCTCCCTTCCTCTCTGAAATCAATAAAGAAAAAAATTTTTTTTAAGTTCTAGGTCCAAATGTATCATCTGTAAAATCTACTCTGTGGCCTGTTTTTCTCAGTTTAAATTAAAGACACTATCTCTGGATCTACAGTAAGATATTGGAAACATTAAGATTTATAATATGGGAATGCTTTTCACTTTTTGGAAAACAAAAAAGGCATAAAATTATGTCATCGCCAACTTTTTCTTCTTCCATTGTTAAATTGAAATAATAGCTAATAAACTCTTAAACAACTCACACCCTGCAAGTGTAGAGATGGCCATCTGTGTTTCAACATATATCCAAATAGGAAAAATATCAGGACGTACCCTTCCCTAAAAATAACTTGACTTCTCAAATAATTAAACTTAATATACGTGTATACCTATTACAAACCATTTATTGTGAACCATATAAATCTATCCATCTGATATGAAAATGATCACAGGTAGCTGCAGAAAAGAAGTCTAATAGAATTTGCTCGAGTTCCATTTATTCCCCTAATGTTAAATGTGCATTGTAAAGGTGACATGCTACTGCACAACGCAATGTTCATTTCCTTTAATAAAAAATGAGTTTCAGCTAAGTTTATCAAAAGCAAGCTAAAAAGAAAGGTTACAATCATCCCAAATTTTGTAATGTTGCTAAATCGCTTTTTAAAATGCCTTCAAACCCCGCACTAAAACTAGCCTGCAAGTGCATGACGGATGTTGCCAAAATAGTGTAGCACAAAATATGCTAGTTCTCCAATCTGGCAAGAAATGCAAAGCAATCTAGAGTCTGGCCAAGGACCAAGAACAGGTCACATCCTCCACCTGCGGCCCTAGCACAGGCCTGGTGTCCCGCAGCTCACGGACTAGGTGTGGAACCGACCACCCAGTTTCCAGCCGCGACAGCCTCCTGCGAGACGACGCGGCCGCCGACGC